GTTGATGAAGGCAGACCCTTGGACAATTTTTCAGAAGAAAATTCAGAATGGTGTGAGGAAAATGATTTCAATGAGTACCGTATAACCGCGAAATAATGCACAGGGGCGTTATTTTGAATTTTGGCCCGAATTAAGCCTAATTTAGGCCGAAAATTGAAATTACACCCCTGCGCGTTATTTCGCGGTTATACGGTATGAGAATCCTGGACAACGACAAGAAAAGCTAAATCAAAATTAATAAATAGTTCATATTTTTGTCTGCAGTATGCAACTGTGATGTATTTTTTTTTATTTGTATATTGTTGCTCTGGCAACATTTTATGAAATAAAGAAAGGGGTCAATGGCACTGCTATTTTTTATTTTAAAAAAATATATATATCGATGTACACTGTGAGCTACAGATATAATATTTTCTATTTCTGACTTGTGATACTCTATAGAAAATCATGCCTCCATTGTTATGCTTTTATTTAGAAATTTAAGTGCATTATTCCAAGGAATAGGTAATGTGAAGGATTGAGTCTTTAACTCCTGAATTAATTTGTATTTTCAGGAAAGGCTTCTAGTACCTCGTCGAATGGGATCCCTGGGTCTTTGATATTATTACAATACAAATAATAAAATTTATTGCCTTGATTATCTGACCACCACTTACCTTGCAAACTCATATGATTTTCTCTACATAGTGGACAATGTGAACCTAAAACCCAATAAGAATCAGTTTGATGCTCACCTTCTGTATATATGCTATTATTTTTATCCAACTTTGGTAAATCGATAAAATGTGTAGTTAATTTATTAATGACTTGATTACGCGTTTCTTTTGACAGCATTTTCTTTAATGGAAAGAGGTTTAGAGTGGGCGATGCACTTATCTCAATATTTGATATATAATTTGAGCTAGATGGTTCACTCACGTGCGCGTGACAATTTGTCATGCAGATCATATCTGTCGATGACTTGGTAAAATCGTTTATGAGGTTTTGAATTTGAATATCCTTTAGACTTGAAATAGCACTTGCGCTGTAAGTTATTTGACTAATTTTATCAATTCCTACTCCTTCATAGAATATATATACTTTTTTTGCTCTGGAAGTTATTTTACGCAAGTTTACATCAGTAATATCAGAAAGGAGCGATTTGATTTCATTATATACTATCGTTCTTGCCGATTGGTCATCAATATTATTCGCAGACTTAACATCACTAACTCGATTTTCGTATGCTTTATAATAACAATACCAGCACAGACTTTCCTTTTGTCGAACCTTCATTGCTACCCTAAATAGATCAACTATATTTTGCGACGTAACCTTACCAGATCCTGTTAAAATCTCTTCTAAAGAAAATTCGGGAATCTGAATATCAAATACTTTATTAATATTATGATTATTATCTTTGATGCAAATCAATAGCTCGAGTCTTAAACCTCGTTCTACTTTTTGATTATAAGGAATTTTCTGATTAGGCAATAGATTAGTAGGTGATTTGGACTCGGAGCTTATCTCTGGAATGTTTGGATTTGCACTCTTTGGATTCGTTTTGATTGTAACAGTTTTTACATCATATAATGAATTAGACTGTTCTGAAGAATTATTATCTGAAGATAAACCTTGGGATCTAAGCTTCTTCTCCCGATTCTTTTCTCTTATTTCATTACTAATACGTTCTTTATGTACCCGATCCAGAAATTTGATCCCTTTATCTTCTGGTAATTTAGACTCTGTATGAATAGATGATATGGTGCATTGAATCTTTGACTCCTGATATTTATCAGAACTTAAAGCATCATCAGTTATATTAGATGAAGGAGTAATATCCTCTAACGATTTTATAACAAGGTTGGATATATTATCATTTTCATACGAATTATCGCCATTTTCTAATCTATCTACAGCATTGTTTTGCTTTTGCTCCAATTTTACAAATCGCTCTTCATTTTCTTTTGCTGACCGTTCTAGTTCCATAATTCTTGCATTGAGCTCAGCATCTCTTAACTTTGCTTTCTCGGCATTTTCTTCTATAATCTGTTTTAGCTCAGTCTCAAGCGCATTTTTTTCTTTTACTATTTGCTCTAATTCTGCGTTCCTAGTTATAAGTCTAACATTTTCCAATTTTAATGAATCAACCTCGGATAAGTCTTTAGATTCGCCTTTTTGAGTTTGCATGTTTAATATTAATTTATATAATTTTAGAAATTGTTGGGAAAAGAATTTTACTGTACACGTTTTGAAAAATATTTTTTCTTGATAGTTAATGCTTTTAATTTCAAATAAAAAAATTATGTGCGCATGACAATTTGTCACACTGATCACTTTTACCAAGAAATATTTTTGTCTCAAAGAGGCTCACCTTTGGTGCTAAAAATTCTTGACAATATGTCATTTTTTCGAAGTGATTGTGTTTTTCTCTTTTTTCATATATAGAAAGATTATTCGAATTTTTTTTATCACAATATAAGTTATATGTATTAACATAAAGAATAATATATACGTATCTAAAATTTTATTAAAAAAATGTTATATCCTATCACAGAAGTGCAAGAAAAAAAAAAGAATATATCTACTACACAGGCAAATCGGAACCATGATTTTAAACATTAGAATTTTTTTCTGATATTCTTTTCAGACAAACTTTATTATAATACATAAATAAATTAAGGTAAGATCTGTTCATCTATTATTTTGTAGAACTTGCCAGTGACATCCCGAAATCTGGCACTCATATGGACATTTCTAAAATCCTTGTCATGCCAGAAATGTATGACATTCAAACCCCTATCCTGAAGCTTTTGAGATGGCCAGTATGGCTTAGTAACAACAAAATCTTCACGAGAAAAGTGCACAATCCATACTTCTTGGGGGCAAAGGTGCTCAGCATACTTAAAGACTTGGTCGAAATGGCCGTTTAGTTTTGAAACTGATGCTGTTGCTAAGAGCTCAATAAGAGCTTCAGGATGGGGGTTATCAGGTTTCTTTATCATCAAATCACAGTAATAATGATGGTAGCTGCCATCATCACAAACTTGTTCAAGATGCCACTGGCCTGTAATTTCGTAGCCGTGGACCTTCCTTAGCCAATTTGCTAAGATCCTGTATATCTCAGCATCATACGTGCTCTCTCTCGGAACTTTATTGTGATGCTCAAAATCTACGTATATGTGATTTGAATTTTTGTACGAGCGGGTGGATCCTAGTGCTATTGTGCCTTGGTCGAATTCATGGACTACAACCTTTAACACTTCTAAAATATTTATGGATCTGTTCTTCCGCAACGGAACATCTATGGAGATATCCATGATATTACCAATGCTTCGTTTTTTTCTGGCAATAGGTGCAGAAGGTAATAAAACTTCTTGCTGATTAGAAATATCAGCTAAAGGCTTTCGAGCTATTTTTCTATCAACCTGTATAAAATAACAGTAAATGAGATAATATTCTCAGAAAGTATATGTAGATGATACAAAAAAATATCTAGCATATTTTTTGTTAAAGGTACATAACCAACTCCTCCTCCAGAATCAGTAGACCTTTATCAAAAAATATTGTTAAACAGTCTCCAAGATGAATATGCTAAACACTGCAATAACCGAGGGCTTGTAAATCCCCAAGCGAAAGCTTCTTGTGCTTATATATCAAACCTGAAAAATGTGCGTTTGGTATATAAAATAAGATACTTACTTTCTTTATGAATAACAGGCTCCTAACTGCCTCAAGAACTTCTTGCGAGGTGCTTGGATCATTACGGATAATATATAAGGTGTTATAAAACACTGTATGCGCCTCATTTTTCTTGATGCATCCAAACATATTTGTAGACCAGGAGATGAAATGCTGAATGGACCACATGTTATATGGGAAGAGCCAGAAATATTTGATTTTACCCTTTTCAAGAGCTTTTGTTCATTCCTTAAACCTTCTGGCTTGTTTATCTAGTTTTATAGCGGGTTCTCGTTTCATGCCATCTTCTATAAACTTTTTTTCAGTCATATCCGGAAAAATCTGTCCATCGATTTTTTCTTTGTGAAGTATTTCATAGTTATCCTCGTCGAGGTTTAAATTTTGTCCGCGCAAAAAAATAATAAGAGTTTCAGTATCCCAGTTTTCAGCTAAGAAAGCGGTTAGAGTAATAGCGGGAGAAGACATAATAATTATTTGGTTAGTAAGTGAAAAATTCAGCAAAGTAGTAATGACAAATTTTGGAATAACTGTCCATATGTCTTTTATAAATGAGAAAAAGTGCGTTAAAGAATGATCAGCTAAAGACGCGTTTATTTATGTATTACAGTATTACATTGATCAAGCGTGCGCGTGACAATTCGTCACGCCGATCACTTTTGCCAAGAAAAATTCTTTGCTCATGAACTTGATATTCCGTTGCATACGTAGAAATATGTATATCCAGGGGACTGAATTTGGACTTATTTTAGAAAAATGGCAGTGCCTTGTCTCACAAATAAGCTATGCATAACAATAATTATTCTAACACGTTAATGAATTTATATGGAAAAGATAAAAATTACTTATACCTGAAAATAAAACTATCGCTATCATTATCATTATTACCAAATCACTAATTCTAATTTATTATTTGTGGTTCCTTTAGAACTTTTCACATTCACATCGCTTATATATTCCCTCTGCTACTTTTTTGCAGGTTTTGCAATATAGATGCGAATGATGGTCGCATTCGTCACAAACCTTACACCCGTGCTTCCAGCCTCTAAAGATATGCCACTTTTCGATGTAATTTTTCCTGTTTTTATATGCATTCTGATTTTTCATTTTGATATATTA